TTTTAACCTTTAAAAAAGATCTCCATTTCATTTTAGAATATACTGTTCCTCACAGAATCATTGTTTTTGCTCATAACACTGAGATGTTGGCGCATGTATCTCTAATCTGTATGTATCTGATTATTACTAGTCATAATCGGTTGGACTTGGACCCTTGGCACCTGTGTATGTCTATGAAGTCATTGGGTGGATTTCAATGGTAATGTTTATCACCTCTACTAATTATCATGACGTAAATTTCCATGCTTCCTCCTCAAATATAATACATTTTTAAAAATTTGTTGATTTTTTTTGGTGTGTATATCACACAGAACATCCCAAACCATCTTATTCAACTGTACACCCACTTCCCAGATGGCACGAAGACCCATTTTAAATCTTTGCTCCTTTAGGTTATTCATGATGTTACTCTGCTTCAAACTAAAATCAAGTATATCTCAAAAAACTCGACTTTGAGAGCTGAGATGCATCTGTCCTGTGTTCTGCACAGGTGAGTGTGATGTGCCAGATACCTGTCTAGAACCCCAGATTTACCTTGACATTTCAGATAAGAGACCCAAATCCTAAATGTTAAATGATACAATCAAGGATGTGTGCATGTGGAGGGAGGGGGAACCAAACCCCAGTGGGAATATAAATCTTAGTCTTTGGCATTGACTGTTAAAATATTATAATTGTCTCCTGTGCATGTTTGTTAGGAATATTGAAAAGAATGGGGATGGTTCATTTTTTGAATAAAAGTGTGAGACTCACTGAAAACCTCGTATATCTTAGCTGATCACACCAGGTTACTTTAAACTTAAATCCACATTTACATTTACCTAAAAGAAAATCAAAGAAAAAGGGAAAGGAATATATCATGAAAATCAAGGTCAGTATGCAGGGTGGGAGGCAGAAGTCTTGGGGAGAGAGAAGGAACACATTCAAATTGTCAACTTCTTGGAGACTTAGTGGTTGAGAGCTTACTATTGTTGCAGATTACTCAGCAGTACTCGGCTCCCATGTTGGATGACTCAATTGTAACTCCAGCTCCAGGGGATTCAACACACTCTTCTGGCCTCTGTGGATACCCACTTATGTACACATACCCATACACAGACTCTCACACATATACATAATAAAAATACATCTTAAAAATTCATCTCTTGGGGGGCTGGAGAGATGGCTTAGCAGTTAAGAGCACTGGCTGTTCTTGCAGAAGACCCGGGTTCTAATTCCAGCACCCACATGGCAGCTAACAACTGTCTATAACTCCAGTTCCAGGGGCTCCAACAGCCTCTTCTGTCTTCCGCAGGCATTGCAGGACATGGGTGCACTTACGTACATGCAGGCAATAACACACATACAAAATAAAAATAAAATATTAAAAAAATTCATCTTTTCAAAAATATTTTTATTTATGTGAATGAATGTGTGTGCCTGTGTGAGTTTGTGCATCAAATGCACGCAGGTGCCTGAGGAGGCCAGAGGGCCTTGGATCCCCTGGAGCTGGAGTTACAAGCAGTTGTGAGTTGACAATGATGGTGAACCCTGGGCCTCTGGAAGAATGGCAAACGTTCTTAACTGCTGAACCATCTCTCCAGCACCCAGCTTCAACTTCTTTTTGTACCTTACTAGTTGATCCTTTTGAGAAAATCTAAGGTGTAGATGAATGCCAGGTTTGGTTGGGTCTTAGCAAAGTTGTGATAATTGGCAGGATTTTCTTTGGGCTTTTCTGGTTAAAATAATTTTTTGTTTTATTTTTATGTGTATGTGTGGATTGCCTGCATGTAGGTAAGTGCACCTGTGTTGTGCAATGCCTGCAGAGGACAGAAGACTTTCAAGTCCCCTGGAATTGGAGTTATGGACAGTTGTTAGCTGCCATGTGGGTGCTGGGATTCAAATCTGGGTCTTCTGCAAGAATACCAATGTTCTTAACTGCTGAGCCGTCTCTCTAGCCTAGTTTAAAATTTTAAAAGCAACATTCCTTTAGATAAGATTGGGATCTGCCCTTCATTTTCCCAGGTCTATGCTGGGTTACTGTCTTCCTGAGTTTGCGTGGGACTTGAGTATGCTGACACCATTGCCATAGAATCATTCTTATTAGCCTGTATTCACTGCACGTAGTGATAGGTCTCAGAAATATAGATTCGAGTGCATCGTATCCTTAGACCATCTGCCCCTGTCTTACCCTCAATTGTCTCCCTTTCTGCTAATGTTCTTTTTTCCAAATTCTCCCTCCTACATTCATGTCATGGATATACGATCCAGGATCCACATATGAGAGAAAACATGCAATATCTTTGTCTTGAACTGAAATTCATTTTTTCCTTCAAGTAATTACATTAGACTGACCCTCTATGTACTCTTCTCATAGAGAGTAATAGCTATAATAGCAGCTATTATTTTTCTGTTTTTTTTGAGACAGGGTCGCCCTGTAGTCCCATCTGGTTTGGAACTCACTATGTAGACCAGGCTGGCCTCCATCTTGCACAGCTCTGCCTGCCTCTGCCTCCTGAGTACTGGGATTAATGATGTGTACCACCACACTGGGTGCAGCTATTTTTCAATATAATATTTTTATTAATGATTCTTTGAGAATTTCATACAATGTATTTTGTTTATATTCACCCCCACTCTTCCTCTATTTCCTCCCAGATCCACCACCACTTCCCCATCCCCCCAACTTCATGTCCTCTTTTAAAAAAAATATTTTATTTTTATTTGTGTATGCATGTATTTCCTACATGTAGTTAAGTGCACCCATGCTGTGCAATGACCATGGAGGACAGAAGAGACTGTTGGATCCCCTGGAGCTGGAGTTACTGGACAGTTGGTAGCTTCCATGGGGGTGCTAGGATTCAAACCCGGGTCTTCTACAAGAACAGTTAGTGTTCTTAACTGCTGAGCTATCTCTCTAGCCCCTGTCTCTTTTTTTTTGTTTTAACAACCCTTCAAGTTCAATTTGTGCTTCCCATATACTCATGGGTGAGGGGCCATTCACTGGTCAACCTACCAGAGTCCAAAGCCTTAAGAAAATTGACTTTTCCTCCCTGTCTCCCAGAATCCATCAACTGTCTGTAGCTCCTCAGGGGTAAGGGCTTGGGAATCCCTTCATCTTCCATGTTAGAATGTTGACTGGCTTGATCTCCTTTAGGCAACCACAGCTGCTATGAGTGTGAGTGCAGTGGTCCTGTCATGCCCTAAAGATTGCTTTGTTCTAGTCCTCCTCAACCTCTGGCTTGAGCCTTGGGCCCTGAGCCTTGGGACAGGTGGTGGTGATACACATGCCCTCTTTTTGGCTAAGCATTCCACTGACACTTATTTTCTACATTTGGATTAGTTGAGTTGTGAGTTTCTCTGTTAACCACCATGCACTGTAGCCAACATTTATAATCTCTTATATGCTTACATTGTTGTAAGCACTTGAGTGAGAAGTCTATTACCTATGGCAACTTAGTGAATAGATACTGTGATGCCAATCTTCAGGAGAGGAAACTTGGGCACAGTGAAGTTGTTTCTTGCTCAGTATCATTGGTTGGTCAGTGGTGGAACCAGAAAGTGAACCCCTGCTTCCACAAACATTGCCTATAAAGTTCTGGAAAGTCAAATGGGAATCAATGCATCTACTAGACACTGGAATCTGCCCTTGATCTCGGTTTTCTAAATGATGAGGTCTGAATAGATCTTCAGCCTCATGTGGCATTTTTTTCTTCTTATTTTAGTCGGTACCCTCTCATATGTGAAGCTGAATGTAGAGGGAATTTCACTGGCAATCCTCCTGAATGGACAGTAGACATGACCACACAGCGCACAAGATGCAATGAAGCAGCTCCGTCAGTGCAGCCAAAGTAAGGACGCTCCAAACTAGTATTTTTCAAATTATTTTAAGTGTATGAGTGCATTGCCTGCATGTGTGTAGTGCACCCATGCAATGCCCTCGGAGCTCAGAAGACAGCATCAGATCTCTGGAACTGGACTTATGGATAGTTGTTAGCTTCCATGTGAGTGCTGGGAACTGAATCTGGGTCCTCTGCAAGAGAAGCTAGTGCTCTTAACCACTAAACCACCTCTCCAGCCTCCCAAATTAGTATTTTAATGTCTTTGTCCAACAGGCCTTAGATATGCCAAGAAAATTGTCTAGGACATGTCCTGTGTTTGTATTAAGACATAATATGCCTAAAGAAGTTCTAGATCAGGAATGGAAAATTCATGCCTTCCTGTGTTTGTGGAAGTTATTACTAATAGTGGTCTTGTAGTCTTCCATTAATTGGTAGAGATTCTATATCAATTAGAGATGTCCCTCTTGGGCATTTTGATGGTTGGTCTTAATTAAGACATGAAATGATTTAGAATTAACCTAGGAGATATGCCTCTGGGTGTGTCTGTGAGGGTGTTTCCAGAGAGGATTAATTGGGTGGGGGTGGGTGGGGAAGAGAAGATACACCCTTAAAGTGAGTGGCACCCACTTGATCAGGCTGTGCCCTATCTGAGCTACCAGCTGGTGGTCTAAGGAAGAAGTACCACCTGGCTGCCTTTCCTCCTGACCACATGTATTTATCGTTGCTCCTACCATCCTCTGCTGACATCAGACTCCATCTTCTTCAGCCTTTCAACATCAACTGAAGACCACCAGCTCTCCAAGGAGTTCCAGGCCTCCAGAACCAGTTTGGTACTGCTGAGGCATCTAGCTTCATGGATTATCAGCTACCAGTCCTTTGCCACTCCAGAATGCAGATGGTTATTGTTGGAATACTTGGGCCCTACGTAAGCCAATCTCATAGAGAAGCTTGCCTAATGCGTATAAGAGCACACTGTCAATAGGAAAAAGAGTGCCTGTCACTTCCAATGTCAAAAAAATCTGAATGGAGAAGATCATGAGTGTTAATCTACATTTGAGTCATGAAGGGATGGAGCTACATTTAAAAAAATATTTTTAAATTGAATTTTTGTGTATTTCATACATAACATCTTAATCATCTTTATGCCCCCTTCTCCATTGACCACCCCCTCCCATAGCCCTCCACTGGAATTCATACATTCTGTCATTTGTGTTAAGGCCTATCATGTCAAGTTAGGGATCCCAGTTGTCCCTCAGTGCAAGTTCATCTGCTGGGGTCTAATCAGCCATCTAGAGTCCCTCCCTTTAAGAAGATTAGCTTCTCACCACCCAGCAGTAAGCAGCTGCCAATAATTCTTCAACTAAGATTGGGGTCTGCTGTCCATTTCCACAGTTCTGTGCTGGGTTTTTGTCTGCTTGAGTTTCTGTGCTGGGTTTTTGTCTGCTTGAGTTTGCATGGGTCTTGTGCATGTTGACACCATTGCTGTAGATTCATATGAGAAGAGTCCCAGGAGCCTGTAGGACTCTATTTCCATATGGTCCTGCACCTCCTCCTTGGCTCTTATGATATTTCTGCCCCCTCTTCCATAATGGTCCCTGAGCCCTGGTTAGGTGGATTTTAATGGGACCTGTCCAAGAACCCATACTTCGTAAATTTAAGCCTCCATATTTTGCACATAGTAAGAAATTACAATTGTTTAGGAATGTGACAGTCTTGGGGTTTTCTCTAAGATCTATGACCTCTCCCACTATGTGTATTTGGCTAGGTTTATAGTACCAGACATGAATTTCCTCCCATTGAGTGGGCTTTAAGTCTAATTAGGTAGCTGTTGATTACCCCCAAGATAAAAATGCCACTACTGCACCAATGTTATTTGATGTGCTGGTCATTGGTATGGTTTTTAGGCCTTGAACCTGGGGTTGAATCATTGATGTTCTCCTTTGGCAGCTTTCAGAGTGCTTTCCAAAGCTATGAGAGGTGGCTTCCAGAGCAGTTTCAGTTCCACTGCTCCAAGTCCTGTGGGTTTTAGACAGAGTTAATAGGAAAATCCAGAACATTTGAGATATCCTTCAGAGCTTGAAGAAGCAAAAGTATTCTTAGAGGTAGTTAAGTAATGTTTGTATTGGAACTTGTTTTTAAAGATATTTTATGTGTATGAGTGTATTGCCTGCATGTGTGTAAGTGCATCCGTGTCCTGCAATGTCCATGGAGGTCAGAAGAGGGCATCAGATTCCATTGGAACTGGAGATCAGATGGTTGTTAGCCACTATGTGGGTGTTGGGAACCAAACGCAGGTCCTCTTGAGAGAAGTCAGTGTTTTATTTACTGCAGAGCCATTGCTCAAGCTCTTTTTTTCATAACCATTTTTTCTTCCATTTCAGTAATACAGCGATTACAGACCCTTGTTTGCCAAATGATGTGCGAGAGAAGAGACTGAGATGTACATCCCTCAGTAGAGAAACAATTTGGACACTCTGCAGTGAATGTTTAGTACTGAAGATTTAACGTGCTTCTTGTAGAAATTTGGGAAGCTGGAATAAAGTGAATAATATATCAACTCTCATCTACTTCTAAAAAAAAAAAACCCTATTTGCAGTTTTAAATAAAAAGGCATGCTACCTTCTTATATTCCTGTCTTTAAAGGGGGCTGTCCCTGCTTTTAGCTGTATGGAATTTGACTAATAAATTTTTTTTATTACATGCTGTTTGTAATTATTGGAGGACTAATTTGTGCACCACTTTAAGCTCCAATGATCATTATTATAAAGAGTTTTTAAGGGTAAAATTGTCAGCTCTTCTCAGTTGCTGGTTCATGCTCTTAGCTAAGGCTTGGTTGTGGTTGGACCAGGAGGAGGCAGCATATAAACAACAAAAGTATATCCCATAATATCCTGGGAAGATGTAGCTGCTCCTGAGGGAAGGTGTGGCATAAGAATGAGACAGGATGGTAGGGAGTTGTGGCATTCTAAATACAGCATTAGGGAAGGCTGACTAGAGGCTGACAGGAATGAGAAGAGTTCAGGAGTGACAGACTGAGCTGTGTGGATCCTGCGGGGAGGGGTGCTGTAGGCTGCAGAAGACTTTATACTGTATGAAATGAGCCAGGCACAGGTAGACAAATACTTTGTGATATCATTTCTGTGAAGACTCTAAGGATGTCGACTCAAAATTATAGAGTAGAACAGTGGTCACCAGAGGTTGGGAAGGGAGTGGAGTGGGTGTGGAAAGATGTTGACTAAAGGGTAAGAAGTGCCTGGGAGAATAAGCCATAGTGATCTATTGCATAGAATGCTGACGATAATAGCTCTGTAGTCTGTTTCACAACTGCCAACAGGGATCTTAAGGTTTTCATCACAAAAAAGCAAGTTAACAGAGTTTTAAAATAAGCTCACCTGGTTTAATAATTTCTATAACATGAATTAAATTTCATCGTAGGACATTCTTGATGGAAATGGTTAAGAGGTTACTTGGCTCGCCAGTCAGTCCTGTGGAGCTAGGCTGGCTGATTAATTTTTATAATCTGATTACTAAGCTTTATTTTATTTTTTTGTGAAGATGGAAATGTAATTGTAGAAATTTGTCCACATAGTCATTATCAGAGAGTTATTTCAAGAGCACCATCTCAGACATATGAGGTATTTTATAACTTGATTTAAATGATTGACAAATACATTTAATATAAAATTAGACCTATTGGAAAGTTAGCAAAAGTACCAAATACTTGAAGATATTTATCTTGTGATTATGAAACATCTAGAGCAACTCTTAATAGTTCTGTTTGCTGACACAGTTGCAAACACTAAGGTGCCTGTGTCATATTTGCTTTAGAAAATAAGATGGATAATGTATGGGATATAGGAATTAATTATGCTCTAGGCATAGGATAGGATGTGGGATTATTCAGAATGGTTTATGGAGAATGTAAGGATGTTATTAGTCATGTCTTCTTAGAATATGAAAGTACATGTGTCTTTCCTCTCCCCACTCCTTTCTTCCCCTCCCTCTCCTTCCTTCTCTCCCTCCTTCCCCCATCTCCCTCCCTCCCTCCCTCCCTC